TTAATTCTATCATCTCTTTCTTTGTTTTTCATGCTCTTCTAACTCTTCTCTGAAGTCTGAAAGAAGTTTGACGTATTCATTATTCTTCTCAGATAACTGTTCTGAGTATTGGTCAACTATTTGTTTCATTGAGTTGTCACAAAGTTTCTTCAGTTGTTCCATCTTTTGTGTTAACGATTTGTTCTCATTCAAATACTTCTTGACTTGCTCACTCAAGTCGTTGTTGGACTTCTGGATCTGTTGGACAAATTCCATGATCGTGTCTTTCGATTTTTCAAAGTCCATAATCTTATAGTCATAGGCATACTCATACATTTCAAGCAACATATCTTTGGAATACTCTTTGGAGTCAAAGTCGGGGTCTGACAAAATGTCGGAGTATTTCAACCCAAGTTCTTCTTCTTCACTGTTTTCAGAGTCGAGTGAATCGGTTTCGTTGTTCGACTTCTCTTCCGAATCACTGAAATCACTAGTCTGTGATTTGTCCTTATCTTCTTCTGACATTGTTTTTAATTGTTTTTTTTTGTTTACGATCTACAAATGTTCAATAGCGTTAATTTTCAATTTTTATAAATGTTTCATTCAGTCTTATTTTCATAATATACTTTTAAAAATGCAATAAGAATAACACAAAGGACTGTTTCAAAACATTTCAATCACCATATTCATCTTCTAATTTAAAATTTGAATAATTTTTAAATATTGAATGTTGTTTTGGGTTTTTATTATTATTCAAATAAGTAAAAGATATTAAAAATCTATTACACACTGATTTATCCATGTTTTGTTAATTATTTAAACAAAAAAATGAAAGTGATTTACACAAAAAGTAGTGTAATAAACCTTAATAAACAAACAAGTTTTAATATATTGTTATTGCCCACATTTTCTGTTTTTTACTTGAATTATACTTTAAATTTATAAATCACCAGCGATATAATTATATTTATCGAATACTGGTGTGTAGTTATATAACAACTACACACTAGTTTTATTATTAAGTTCATTTTTTTTAAAAATAAATTTCAAGAATTTATTTATGTTATTCCAATTTCATTTTATTAATTTTGGTTTTCATAGCTCAGACGTTTTTTTTCTATAACCCATTTCTTTGCCTTTGTTTCTGTTGTCACAAGGTTTTCACGTTCAAGTACATCCGATAATAATTGTTCATTTTTTATATAATATATTAAGTGTTAACAATTAACCCGCAACGAGAAGAAAGCTTCAGAAAAAGCGAAGTTGCCACCTCAAAACAACTTCATGGGAGGATCAATTTAAATGCCATTTGGCACAAGCCCACACTCACAAAAAAGTCCAAATTATTTTGCAAGAAATGGGAAAAGAAGAACAACTCTTTTGAAAGATGAGGTCGACAAAAAAACACAAGCTCAACTTCTCCATCACAGGAAATATAATTAGCATTAGCACAAAAAATTAAACAATTCCAGTCAAAAGTAATTAAGAAATCTATTTTAATTATTGAATAATGTCTATTTAATAATAACATAACTAATTAATTATAATACAATGAAATGATAATGAACTCAAACATATTTTTAAAATCAACAATACCAGTTAAAAGTGTCTCTTTTTCCACGATCCAACACAAATACACATCTATTTTTCGTAAAGTAGAATGCGAAATTGTTTTTTAATATTAAAAATTATTTAAATTTAAATTATGTTTAAATTCCACAAACAATTTAAATTCAAGAATATATTTTTAAATGAAGGACAAACCAGTTATCTATTTGTTCCACAAATATTCATTTTTGACAATAGTTATTTTATAATAAAATTGTTAGATTTACTAGTTAATATTATTTTTAAAATAGAAATAGAAAAAAAAAGAATTTATAAATTTATTCAGTTCGTATTTTGTTGGTTTTTACAGAATTTGTATAGTTTAAATAGTATTGAAATAATTAAAAATAGTTTTGTTAAAAACAAAGTTTGGGTATAAAAACAAAAAATTTTTTCATCTAGTCGCCACAATGATGAGAATTTAGTGTGATCAACCATGATAAATACATACGTCTTCATCTCTGAGTGGACTTTAACAATCGAATGACCTTCTTTAACTTAATGATAAGCAGTGGCTTAACACTTAATGTTTTGTTACTGTTTTGAAAGCAAAGAGTGATAATAATAATAATAATAATAATAATAATAATAATAATAATAATAATAATAATAATAATAATAATAATAATAATAATAATAATAATAATAATAATAATAATAATAATAATAATAATAATAATAATAATAATAATAATAATAATAATAATAACTAATTTGTTTGTGTTTTTATGTTTAACATAAAAAAGTGAATAAATTCAGTTGATTTGGTTTAAATCTGAATAAAATAACGGGATAATATTGCTAACAAACATAAGCAAAAGTGTTTATTGCTTCACTTTTGTTTTGAAAAACCAGCCAAAAAATAAAAAGTGGTTTCCCACTTGTGTGTAAACATGTAACATTAAAAAAGAACTTTAAATTATAACACTTAGATTAAGGGACTATTACAGTTTACAAATAATTTAGGTTCCGACTTGTTGCTCACGTATACGTGCACATGGGATGTTAAAATCAATTTCCCCATTGTCTAAGAATTAAACAAGTTTTATAATAATTAGATCAATATGCAATTCAATCCAAAAAGAAGAAGACACAATCTGGATTGCCAATCATTTATTTGAATAATTAAATGATTAACAATTATTCAAATAAGTAATTAACTTTAATACAGTCAAATTGATAATAATAAAATTTATTTAACTTTATTGATAATAAACTTACAAATAAAATACTGAATATCTCAACATTAGAACGATTAATATTACTCAATAAAACACTTTTGACATTGTTAATAATCAAATCTTTCACATAAATAACACATTTCATCATAAATAATAATTTAATAATTTAATATTTTAAATACATAACAGATTTAATAGTAAACTCTATTGAACTGATTTTAATATCACTTGTTTTAAAATTAGATTAACCATAACATGATAAAATAAAATTAGTCATCCCAATCTTCTGATTCGTCGTCAGATTCCTCATCATCTGCAATATCCTTTCTTCTCGCTGCCATGACGTTGGATAACAAACTTGTCAAGTCTCCCTTCATCTGGTCAGTCATTTGTTCCTTTGGAGGGTCTACTCTTTCCGTCACCTTCTTCAATTTCGTTCCCTGTGAAATTTGTTCCAATAGACTTGGTTGACTCTTAGCTGGAGCAGCTGCAATCCCTGGTGCAGATGTTGGTGGGGGTGGAGGCATTTTTGGGAGTGGCATATTAGCTGGTGGAGGAGCCAATCCTGGAGGAGGTGGTAATAGATCTGGAGGTGGGGCCAAGTCATTAGGTGGAGGGAGTGGTAAATCTTGTACTTGATTTTGTGGTAGTGGAGGTTGTTGGTGTGGTTTGGTAGATTGACCGAAGGTAGCTTTAGGAGGTGCGCCTGTTCTAACGGCTCCGAAGCCGGATTTAGCTTGATGAGGTGGTGGGACAGGAGGTGGGACTTGAGCTGTTTGATTACAATTATTAGGTTTTTGGATTTGTTGAGTTTGATGTCCACAGTTTTGGGAAGATGTAGAAGGTGGAGTACTTTTAGTGACTTTCTTCTTGCCTGGTACACGAGCGTTGACCCATCCTTTAGGAGCCGAAGCCACTTTCTTTTGTTCTTGTATATGTTGTCTGACTTGTTGGTCGTCGACATTACCAGTTGATTTCAGTTGGTCCAACAAGTCATAAGGGAGTTGTCCCATATCTACTCTGTCCTTAATTAAGATGTACAATGTAGTGACGACTTTTTTATCAGCTAAATTACTTGGACGTAAACCGGCATTTTTAAGGATCTGCTTAAGTTCAGAGGATAAGCCAGAGAGATTGACATACGACTGCTTTTTACTCTCCATCAAGTTTCGTAATTCTCTTGGGATGTTCGACTTGGACTTCGATAATTTCTCTAAGTGCGGCTGGTTGTAAGTAAATCTCTCCCCTGAATTAGTTAAAGACTTTCCAGTTGCTTTAAAGAACTCGCCAAAGAGTCCAATAATTGATCCAAAAGTTCCTCTATTAGAGAAGACGGTGAGTTGTAAATGCACCATTAAAGCTTGTTGTCGCTCTTTTTCAATCTTTTTAAACTCTTCTATTGCAACTTTCACATCTGTGGCACTGGCAGTCCGCTTCTCTGCATTGGACAAGTCACTGTCCCACTTCTTCCGCTCACGAAGAATGTCAGAATTCAACGTTTGGACTTCTTTCTGGCGTTGGGCATGTTCCCGCTTGAGTCCTTCAATTAACATGGAAGTGCCTTGTGTGTTCAGTTGAGAACGGCCGGAGTACAAATCAGTCAAAATGTCTCGGACTATTTTTATACCGGAGTCGAAATCCCCCATCCCAGTCTCTGCTATCCCATCAAGTGCCGTTATCACTTTTGCTGTTTGTTGGTTCAAAGCAATTTCGGAATTACTATAAGCTTCAAGGGAGTCGATGAGCTTCTTTAAATTGGGAACAACCTTCTTCATGTTGTCTTGAAGAGCATTTGTGAAATCCACCATCTGTTTCTCTTCATCTTTGGACTTCAAGTTGAAATCGTCCTTCTTTGGTAAAGTAGTCATTTTCTAATTTAAAGTTTCATCTTCGTTTGGAATTTTTCCTGTTTTTTTAAAGTGTTGTTTCGTCTTGAATTTCCATCATTCAATTGTTGCAAATTAAAACACTAAAAATTTTTCATTCGTCGTAAAAATAGAAAAATGAAATTTCGAGAATTTTGATGCTTTCACAATGTTATTATTTATAACCAGAAACGGTTTATTATTTTTGGTATCAATATTTGTATTATTTTTATATTATAATATACTATTATAAAATGGATTCTATTTTAAATTGATATTTTTGAGAAATAAATAAGCGAAAAGAAATTATTTTTTTATTATAAAAAATGGTAATAAATTATTTTTTTTTGTTTCATTAAACCATATTATTAGAATTCTATATTAATAATTTATATTACATTGTATCTATATATTTTAAAATTTATTTTTAATTTTTTAAATAAAATTTATATTTAAAAATTTGTTAAATTGCTTTTTTATATTAAAGTTAAAATCCAAGTTTGAGTCAAATATAGTAATAAATTTTTATTTTTGCTCTGATAAATAAAAATGAATATAAATTCATATTAATTTTATTGAAAATAATTTTATCAAATAGAATTATATGTTGCTTTTTTTTAATAATTGCAATCTAATAATAATAATATATAATATAATACTAATATTATACTAATATAAA